ACACACTGAAGCCTCCTCTCAAGGGTCAAGTCTGGTACACACTGAAGCCTCCTCTCAAGGGTCAGGTCTGGTGCACACTGAAGCCTCCTCTCAAGGGTCAGGTCTGCTACACACTGAAGTCTCCTCTCAAGGGTCAGGTCTGGTACACACTGAAGCCTCTCAACGGTCAGGTCTGGTACACACTGAAGCCTCCTCTCAAGGGTCAGGTCTGGTACACATTGAAGCCTCCTCTCAAGGGTCAGGTCTGGTACACACTGAAGCCTCCTCTCAAGGGTCAGGTCTGGTACACACTGAAGCCTCCTCTCAAGGGTCAGGTCTGGTACACACTGAAGCCTCTCAAGGATCAGGTCTGGTACACACTGAAGCCTCTCAAGGGTCAGGTCTGGTACATACTGAAGCCTCTCAAGGGTCAGGTCTGGTGCACACTGAAACCTCCTCTCAAGGGTCAGGACTGGTGCACACTGAAGCCTCTCAAGGGTCAGGTCTGGTACACACTGAAGCCTCCTCTCAAGGGTCAGGTCTGGTACACACTGAAGCCTCTCAAGGATCAGGTCTGGTACACACTGAAGCCTCTCAAGGGTCAAGTCTTGTACACACTGAAGTCTCGCAAGGGTCAGGTCTGGTACACACTGAAGCCTCCTCTCAAGGGTCAGGTCTGGTGCACAGTGAAGCCTCCTCTCAAGGGTCAGGTCTGGTACACACTGAAGCCTCCTCTCAAGGGTCAGGTCTGGTACACACTGAAGCCTCTCAAGGGTCAGGTCTGGTACACACTGAAGCCTCTCAAGGGTCAGGTCTGGTACACACTGAAGCCTCCTCTCAAGGGTCAGGTCTGGTGCACACTGAAGCCTGTTCTCAAGGGTCAGGTCTGGTACACACTGAAGCCTCCTGTCAATGGTCAGGTCTGGTACACACTGAAGCCTCTCAAGGGTCAGGTCTGGTACACACTGAAGCCTCCTCCCAAGGGTCAGGTCTGTTACACACTGAAGCCTCCTCTCAAGGGTCAGGTCTGGTGCACACTGAAGCCTCCTCTCAAGGGTCAGGTCTGGTACACACTGAAGCCTCCTCTCAAGGGTCAGGTCTGGTACACACTGAAGCCTCCTCTCAAAGGTCAGGTCTGGTACACACTGAAGCCTCCCCTCAAGGGTCAGGTCTGGTACACACTAATGCCTCTCAAGGGTCAGGTCTGGTACACACTGAAGCCTTTCAAGGGTCAGGTCTGGTGCACACTGAAGCCTCCTCTCAAGGGTCAGGTCTGGTACACACTGAAGCCTCCTCTCAAGGCTCTGGTCTGGTACACACTGAAGCCGCTCAAGGGTCAGGTCTGGTACACACTGAAGCCTCCTCTCAAGGGTCAGGTCTGGTACACACTGAAGCCTCTCAAGGGTCAGGTCTGGTACACACTGAAGCCTCTCAAGGGTCAGGTCTGGTACACACTGAATCCGCTCAAGGGTCAGGTCTGGTACACACTGAAGCCTCCTCTCAAGGGTCAGGTCTGGTACACACTGAAGCCTCCTCTCAAGGGTCAGGTCTGGTACACACTGAAGCCTATCAAGGTTCAGGTCTGGTACACACTGAAGCCCCCTCTCAAGGGTCAGGTCTGGTATACACTGAAGTCTCTCAAGGGTCAGGTCTGGTACACACTGAAGCCTCCTCTCAAGGGTCAGGTCTGGTACACACTGAAGCCTCCTCTCAAGGGTTAGGTCTGGTACACACTGAAGCCTCTCAAGGGTCAGGTCTGATACACACTGAAGACTCTCAAGGGTCAGGTCTGGTACACACTGAAGCCTCCTCTCAAGGGTCAGGTCTGGTACACACTGAAGCCTCCTCTCAAGGGTCACGTCTGGTGCACACTGAAGCCTCCTCTCAAGGGTCGGGTCTGGTACACACTGAAGCCTCCTCTCAAGGGTCAGGTCTGGTACACACTGAAGCCTCTCAAGGGTCAGGTCTGGTACACACTGAAGCCTCCTCTCAAGGGTCAGGTCTGGTGCACACTGAAGCCTGTTCTCAATGATCAGGTCTGGTACACACTGAAGCCTCCTCTCAAGGGTCAGGTCTGGTACACACTGAAGCCTCTCAAGGGTCAGGTCTGGTACACACTGAAGCCTCCTCTTAAGGGTCAAGTCTGGTACACACTGAAGCCTCCTCTCAAGGGTCAGGTCTGGTGCACACTGAAGCCTCCTCTCAAGGGTCAGGTCTGCTACACACTGAAGCCTCCTCTCAAGGGTCAGGTCTGGTACACACTGAAGCCTCTCAACGGTCAGGTCTGGTACACACTGAAGCCTCCTCTCAAGGGTCAGGTCTGGTACACATTGAAGCCTCCTCTCAAGGGTCAGGTCTGGTACACACTGAAGCCTCCTCTCAAGGGTCAGGTCTGGTACACACTGAAGCCTCCTCTCAAGGGTCAGGTCTGGTACACACTGAAGCCTCTCAAGGATCAGGTCTGGTACACACTGAAGCCTCTCAAGGGTCAGGTCTGGTACATACTGAAGCCTCTCAAGGGTCAGGTCTGGTGCACACTGAAACCTCCTCTCAAGGGTCAGGACTGGTGCACACTGAAGCCTCTCAAGGGTCAGGTCTGGTACACACTGAAGCCTCCTCTCAAGGGTCAGGTCTGGTACACACTGAAGCCTCTCAAGGATCAGGTCTGGTACACACTGAAGCCTCTCAAGGGTCAAGTCTTGTACACACTGAAGCCTCTCAAGGGTCAGGTCTGGTACACACTGAAGCCTCCTCTCAAGGGTCAGGTCTGGTGCACAGTGAAGCCTCCTCTCAAGGGTCAGGTCTGGTACACACTGAAGCCTCCTCTCAAGGGTCAGGTCTGGTACACACTGAAGCCTCTCAAGGGTCAGGTCTGGTACACACTGAAGCCTCCTCTCAAGGGTCAGGTCTGGTGCACACTGAAGCCTGTTCTCAAGGGTCAGGTCTGGTACACACTGAAGCCTCCTGTCAATGGTCAGGTCTGGTACACACTGAAGCCTCTCAAGGGTCAGGTCTGGTACACACTGAAGCCTCCTCCCAAGGGTCAGGTCTGTTACACACTGAAGCCTCCTCTCAAGGGTCAGGTCTGGTGCACACTGAAGCCTCCTCTCAAGGGTCAGGTCTGGTACACACTGAAGCCTCCTCTCAAGGGTCAGGTCTGGTACACACTGAAGCCTCCTCTCAAAGGTCAGGTCTGGTACACACTGAAGCCTCCCCTCAAGGGTCAGGTCTGGTACACACTAATGCCTCTCAAGGGTCAGGTCTGGTACACACTGAAGCCTTTCAAGGGTCAGGTCTGGTGCACACTGAAGCCTCCTCTCAAGGGTCAGGTCTGGTACACACTGAAGCCTCCTCTCAAGGCTCCGGTCTGGTACACACTGAAGCCGCTCAAGGGTCAGGTCTGGTACACACTGAAGCCTCCTCTCAAGGGTCAGGTCTGGTACACACTGAAGCCGCTCAAGGGTCAAGTCTGGTACACACTGAAGCCTCCTCTCAAGGGTCAGGTCTGGTACACACTGAAGCCCCCTCTCAAGGGTCAGGTCTAGTGCATACTGAAGCCTCCTCTCAAGAGTCAGGTCCACACTGAAGCTTCCTCTCAATGGTCAGGTCTGGTACACACTGAAGCCTCCTCTCAAGGGTCAGGTCTGGTGCACACTGAAGCCTCCTCTCAAGGGTCAGGTCTGGTACACATTGAAGCCTCTCAAGGGTCATCTCTTTTTTTTTATTGAGGGGAAAGGGGGGGGGGGTTCTGACTCAGCTACCGCATCGCTCTCTTGTTTTTCAAACTGTTCAAGAAAATGTTCATATCTGTTCTTCAAAGAGTAAACAGTTCATAAAAATGTTCGTCACAGCGAAGAGTGTGGTGTATGTGGTGTGCATTATATCATAAGCCGTATATCGTATGCTGTGTGTAGCCTGGTATATGATAAGTTGAATATGTAGAATTATGCACTATAGTTTATACAGAATTTAATTTGTTACTGTATATGACATTTGAAATGTAATATATACGGGCATAAGCTGTTAATATGGCGTCTGAGAATGGTGCATATATGAAGATAATCTTGAAGATATGTATTGATGAAGCTGAAGATATTTGTTTCTTCAGATGGATAAAATGTGGGATGTCCCATCGCACATTTTATCCATTTTATCCATCTACCCCCACCCTCGTCCCACCACCGGGGGGGGGGGGGTGGATAGATGGGTATAGATCCACTCCACACACAAATGCCATTTTTTGTAATCAGTTTCATGTTATTTAACCCTCAATAATTATTTGGTTGCTGGAGCTCTGATTGGTTGCAAACACAAAATTCTTGATTTGCTAAAAATTAAGAGCATTTTGCGGCAAATTGGCAAGTTGGGAATTAATAAAAAAATACAATTGTCTGTGATGGAGTTCATGGCGGCGCGCAATGCGTTAGTGATTTTATTTTTGCAGTTAAAAAACGGTAGTTTTTGATTTGGCGGGAAATATTTACCGTAAAGCTTTATATCACATGCAAAAAACAGAGGAGATAATTGGTCTACTTGACTCTTAGTTTGTAATGTATATCTTGAGGTTATCTTGAGATGATTTCGGGGCTTTTAGTGTCCCCGCGGCCCGGTCCTCGACCAGGCCTCCACCCCCAGGAAGCAGCCCGTGACAGCTGACTAACACCCAGGTACCTATTTACTGCTAGGTAACAGGGGCATTCAGGGTGAAAGAAACTTTGCCCATTTGTTTCTGCCTCGTGCGGGAATCGAACCCGCGCCACAGAATTAAGAGTCCTGCGCGCTATCCACCAGGCTACGAGGCCCCACCACTATATATAATACTGAATATTTTAGGCAACGTTGTTAGATGTTACTGGGCATCTCTTGTGTTTATTGTTAGTTCCCCTTACACATTTCCAGCTATCGCGATGACCATAGACACTTCCTGTATGTGTAAAGACCTTACACACTTTTCTTTTCAGCCTTGTCGTTAAATAACACTGAGAACCCATCCAGTGGGCTCGACACTTGGTTCTTGGACGATGGCACCCTACTTGGTTCCCCCGGACTACCTGCTGGACGACATAGGAATAATTCTGGAGCAAGGATCAAATCTAGGTTGCTCCTTGAACTCTTCCAAGTGTGAAATAACCTCCACCAACGAGCACATTATAGATCGAGTAAAAGGGGGTTTGTCTGATATCCATATAACCAACCCTGAGGACAGCACGCTCCTATGAGCACCTCTTCGAGGGAGGACCATCGACGAGGTCCTTGGTAAGAAGATCGCTGACCTAAAGAGAATGGATGAGAAGATTGAAAACATTGATGCTCATGATGCACTTTACCTCATTACCAGATACTTGTCCCTCCTCCAGGCTGACCTACTTTCTTTGATGTGCGATATCTTTCAATAATCATAAGTTAAAGGAGTATGACGGCTAGCTGAAATCATTGTTAGAAAAAGCCCTTAATATTTCTCTCAATGACTCACAGTGGAAACAGGCCTCCCTTCCTGTCAGACTCGAGGGGTCTCGGCGTTCGCACAGCAACGCAAATTGCTGTACAAGCGTTCCTATTCTCTTCAATGGCATCTGACAACTTGGTGAATTTAATCCTACTTGATTACATAGGTCAACAGGCAGGGGTACAAGATCCCAGCTACTGCACCACCAAATGGGTCTCTCTCGCAGGACCAGCACCCCAACCACCACCTTCTGAAGCTCACAAGCAATCCAGCTGGGATCGCCCGATTGTCGACACAGCAGCTGCAACATGCCTAGAAGCTGCGACAACACCACATGACACTGCCCGACTTGGAGCTGTAGCAGCTCCCCATGCAGGTGACTTCCTATTAGCAACCCCAATGTCAGCAACCGGCACGCGTCTCACAACGCAGGCATTCCGATTTGCTGTGGCTCTCCGCCTCGCTGCCCCAATCCACAGAGAATACAGGTGTATTTATGGCGAGACAGAGGCTGACAGGTACGGACGGCATGGCCTGCTCTGCCAAAGCACAGGAGGATGGCATGCAAGACACAGCGAGGTAAACGACATTATTAAGAGGCGCCTTACCACAGTCGGTTGTCCAGCAGAGAGAGAACCTCGTTACCTAATGTCCCGCATTAACTTGAACTGAACGGTAGAGCGACGGTCTCGCTTCATGCAGGTCGGCGTTTAATCCCAGAACGTCCAAGTGGTTGGGCACCATTCCTTTTCCCCGTCCCATCCCAAATCCTGACCCCTTCCTAGGCATATATAGTCGTAATGGCATGTCGTTTTCCCCTGATAGTTCCTCCCCCCCCCCTTCCTTTCCCTCTGATGAGCCTGTCGGTCGCCCAGACGGGATCACGGTGAACCTCTGGAAGAATGATACAGTTGGTGTGGGACTACACTTGCGTTTCAACTTTAGCTAACACCTATGTTGACTTCAGTGCTTCACAGGCAGGAGGTGCTGCCAATCACTGGAAAGCGGCCAAGTCGCGTAAATACAGAGATTTTAATCACCACCATAGTTTTGTTCCCCATTGCCTCAGAGACATTTGGTGCCTGGGGTAAAAGTGCTGCTAGTTTTTTGAAGGAGCTGGGTTCTAAGCTAACTGAAACAATTAGAGACCCTAGAATCGCCAGTTTCATTTTTCAGCGCCTTAATGTGGCGATCCAGAGAGGAAACGCACACGGCATCCATGCCTTTTGGCCGCCATCCGAGGATATATATATATATATATATATATATATATATATATATATATATATATATATATATATATATATATATATATATATATATATATATATATATATATCGGCCTCACAGTCACAAAGAGAACATTCTACAGTATCTCGTTTCGTATTTATAAATAGTATTGTGGTAGATTCAGTGTGTATGTGTGTGTGTAATATGTTGTTGGTGGTGGTAAACAATATGAGTGTAAATCGTCTCACTCATCAGAGGAGTGAGTCTTCGCCAGTCCACGTCCACACGCAACTGTTCAGTCACACGCAACATTTTCCCGTGTCTAATGAAGTCGTCTTCACCTGTGACTCAACCCAGAGACAAAAAGTCCATTTCTTCACTGTGTTGATTCAACCAATATAAGACCAAAACAAAAATCCAAGTATTGCATTTACACTTTTTTTCCCCTGTTCATTTTTTTCTTATTGTAAACTGTGATTTATGTATGAAAATGTTAAAAGTTAAACATTTAAAGAAAATTAAGGTGATGGAAAAAGTTAAGGAAAGTGGAGAATGCAGGAAACCTGTCAAGTGGCTGGGTCAGTTTCCTTGGTGGGAATCCTTACAGTGTTGAGATGTGGTGCGACTCCCACTATACCTTCACCTCTCACCTTTACCACATTTGGGTGTTCGTATGTTTGCCTTTTAACCACGATTTACATGTCGGAAGACTTGCTTATATTACTTCCCCTTCCATAAAGGAAGTGAGGTAGTATGCGTTAGATACTTAGCATTTAGATACGTAGCATTTAGATCCGTTTGTGACGGATCAATAAGTAAAATTCTTTTATTTTCATATAAATGTGTGTATTGAGTATCTATTTTCCCAGCCACATTACTGTGACTTAGTCTGAGCTAATTATTTTGGGCTAGTTTTCAGTAGTTGTGCCCAGGACAAAGGGTTAATTCAGTTGGACGATTTATATATATATATATATATATATATATATATATATATATATATATATATATATATATATATATATATATATATATATATATATATATATATATATATATATATATATATATATATATATATATATATATTGTGACGATAATCTCTTTCAAGAGAGATTGAGCCTGCTCTTCCCTACAAAGTACGTAAAAACAAATGATAATATAGAAGATACGTCCACCAAATATCTCCAAAACGTTTTGCCCAGAGAGCAAAACGTGTCCAGCACACCGGCACACCTGCTAGCTACCGCCACCGTAAACCAGCTAACTGCTTGTCCTTTGCCTGCCTGTCGCTGATTGGCTGGTGTCCCGTCGCACCTGCCCTCCGCCACAAGTTGATGTCTGGGCTGCAGTGCTTCAGTATTGTCAGAATATCTCAGTGCTCCTTGCAGTTGACATCTCTCGCTGGTAGACTAAGCCTTGGCTTTCGTGTACTAAGGGAGGTGGCAGCTCGAAGCCAATATTCCAGCTCCATTCATATCTATTTTGCTATCACTGTAACTCACTTGTCTTAACGTAACTTTTCATTTGCCAGTGATTATTCATATTATTTTGTTTGTTGACTTGTCTTTTATATTTTATGTGCTTAACTTTATTCATGTCTTGTTTTTCTAAAGTAATTAAAATTTCATTGTTAATTTACTTGTGTTTTGTGTGTCTTCCCATTACCTTACCACAGACGACAGTTCCAGCTTTTCTTTTTTTTTCTCTCTCTGTGACGAGGCCCTGCCCCTAGCTTTTGAAACAGCCGAACACCAACGCTTTACCGTCACAATATATATATATATATATATATATATATATATATATATATATATATATATATATATATATATATATATATATATATATATATATATATATATATATATATATATATATATATATATATATATAATGTGTGTGTGTATCACGAAAATAAACACGTGATTAAAAATGTGACAATGTCAGACCACGGAGGAAAAATGAAACAGGAATTTCCTTAAGTACTTTCGTATATTAATACATCTTCAGAATCCTTCTGAAGATGGATTAATATACGAAAGTACTTAAGGAAATTCCTGTTTCATTTTTCCTCCGTGGTCTGACATTGTCATATATATATATATATATATATATATATATATATATATATATATATATATATATATATATATATATATCGCATATTCCCTGGCGTGTCTGTGTGTGTATGAAAGTTAATCAAGTTAAATTGACCCAAGTTGCACATTGTAAAGTTATGCTTTATACCTCATTTCAGGTGAGTGGAGTGATGTGGTCCCACCAACTTTCCTCAAGTTTGTCTGCTTAGTTCGACCAAGTTCCAGGCAGGTAAGTAATTACCAATATATATAGCGGTAGGCCTGTATATTGCTCTATAACACCTCTGACAGGTGAGTGCTTTGGAATGGGGGGGGAGGGGGAAGCCGTGTGTGTTTGGTTACGGGTGAAACTATCAACCTGACTTTGTGAGTATCTCAGGATTCGAACTCGGGACCAGTATTTCATAGTCTTACTCTCATTTGTGTTCACAATGCTGCGGTCTTTGTTGTCCAGATAATTCTCCTTCACTGTACGAATTGTTCACAGCCTTACGCGTCACTATGTTTTGCCACTGTCCTGTGTCACAATCCTGCTTCACCATCATGTTGTCACTATCCTGTCGCTGTCCTTTCTCTATCCTGCCTCACAATTCTTTCACTGTCGTGTGTCATTATACTGTCAACATCGTATATGTCACTAACCTGTCCCTGTAATGTGTCACCATCCAGGCAGTGGTATCGTGACGAACCATCACGTCAGGTCACAGTCCTGGAAACTGCAGAGGACGACAGAAGGAAACTACTATGTCAAGTATCGTCATTTTGTAACACCTCTTTTGTTTTAGTAACTAAGAGAGAACTACTGTTTTATAATTAATAACGTAGCGTCTATAGCGTTAGCGAGTGTACTGTGGCGCACTCAAAAGGTGTAGAGGGAGAGACCGGAGTCGAGCGGTCCTGAGCCACGAGACAAAAGGGGGTTAGATTCCGTCCTCTTGACCGCTTCGTGTGTGCCAAAGGTGATAAAGGTCCATAAATTACAAGGTTGACCTTGGAGTTGTCCATGAGTTACAAGGCTGACCTATTTTCTAGAAACGCCTCAGTTTTCTGTCCAACATTATTCCGGGATTGGCTAGGCCGTAAGAGGCAATCCTATGGTGTCTGTAGCAAATTTCTGAGTGGCTCTTTCCGTAGTCGGGGTGAGATCAGAGAAAGGTTCCCCCAGTGTGTTGCCAGTCAGAACTAGCGTCACCGGACAAGGTGGTTCACCATACACCAACCTGTAAGATCAGTAAATATCCACCGATGTCACTGAGGGGGGGGGGCAAAGTGTCACTGAGAGCAAAGTGTTGAGTAAAGTGCCTCAGTCACCCTAACCTTGGCGACGCGGCATCTTGTTGACGCATCTTAATGTTATCTACACTCTGATCCACGGGATCTATACACTCTGATCCACGGGATCTATACACTCTGATCCACGGGATCTATACACTCTGATCCACGGGATCTATACACTCTGATCCACGGGATCTATGCACTCTGATCCACGGGATCTATGCACTCTGATCCACCAAATCTATACACTCTGATCCACGGGATCTATACACTCTGATCCACGGGATCTATACACTCTGATCCACGGGATCTATACACTCTGATCCACGGGATCTATACACTCTGATCCACCAAATCTATACACTCTGATCCACGGGATCTATACACTCTGATCCACGGGATCTATACACTCTGATCCACGGGATCTATACACTCTGATCCACGGGATCTATACACTCTGATCCACGGGATCTATACACTCTGATCCACCAAATCTATACACTCTGATCCACGGGATCTATACACTCTGATCCACGGGATCTATACACTCTGATCCACGGGATCTATACACTCTGATCCACGGGATCTATACACTCTGATCCACGGGATCTATACACTCTGATCCACGGGATCTATACACTCTGATCCACGGGATCTATGCACTCTGATCCACGGGATCTATACACTCTGATCCACGGGATCTATACACTCTGATCCACGGGATCTATACACTCTGATCCACGGGATCTGTACACTCTGATCCACGGGAGCTATACACTCTGATCCACGGGATCTGTACACTCTGATCCACGGGATCTATACACTCTGATCCACGGGATCTGTACACTCTGATCCACGGGATCTATACACTCTGATCCACGGGAGCTATACACTCTGATCCACGGGATCTATACACTCTGATCCACGGGAGCTATACACTCTGATCCACGGGATCTATACACTCTGATCCACGGGATCTGTACACTCTGATCCACGGGATCTGTACACTCTGATCCACGGGATCTATACACTCTGATCCACGGGATCTATACACTCTGATCCACGGGATCTGTACACTCTGATCCATGGAATCTATACACTCTGATCCACGGGATCTATACACTCTGATCCACGGGATCTGTACACTCTGATCCACGGGATCTATACACTCTGATCCACGGGATCTATACACTCTGATCCACGGGATCTGTACACTCTGATCCACGGGATCTGTACACTCTGATGCACGGGATCTATACACTCTGATCCACGGGATCTATACACTCTGATGCACGGGATCTATACACTCTGATCCATGGAATCTATACACTCTGATCCACGGGATCTATACACTCTGATCCACGGGATCTGTACACTCTGATCCACGGGATCTATACGCTCTGATCCACAGGATCTGTACACTCTGATCCACGGGATCTATACACTCTGATCCACGGGATCTATACGCTCTGATCCACCAAATCTATACACTCTGATCCACGGGATCTATACACTCTGATCCATGGAATCTATACACTCTGATCCACAAGGATCTATACACTCTGATCCACCAAATCTATACACTCTGATCCACGGGATCTATGCACTCTGATCCACGGGATCTATACACTCTAATCCACGGGATCTATACACTCTGATCCACGGGATCTATACACTCTGATCCTCTGATCACTCACTTAATACACCACAATTTCAACGCAATGGATCCCAACGTATAATTAACTGAGAAACTAAAATTGAAACTAAAAACTCCTAAACGTCCGCTTCCCGTGACTATTAATAGGCTTCTCGTTAGTCAAAATCAGATCAAATCTTACGGTAGACTTACTATTAGAACAGACTGGGGAAACCGGTTTTATACATGGCAGTTTATGCCAATTAAAAGCTTTTTATCAAAATTAATATATATACGTTCGTTATGCAGGAATCAACCGGAATCAAGTTCAGGTAGAGAGGCTGCGTCCTTTGTGAGTGTTGCGTCTGTGGGTGGGTCCGGGACTGATGCGTGAGGCAGTCGTGTTTGCGTCACTGACCGGAGTTTCAACATTGTCTCCCCCAAGTCCATGACGCAAGTCAATTCTCTCTCACATTTGTGACTTACTCGCACAACCATCTCATTATACAGCATCTTTTTTCTGATTTAATAATGAAATTGATAATAAACACTGTTTTCTTGTATATAAATTGTTATTATACGTTACAGTAATTGCAGTTTATGAAGGGAATATATGCGCGCGGGGGCGGACGAGGCCGGCATCAGCATATTACCGGGGCGTGAGGGTGGTTGGGTGGTTATGAACGAGGTCGTTTCTCTCTAATATGTCAATAATTATCGTCACAGGGCGTTAGGTGAGCGACACTATGGAACCACCAGTTTAACCTAGCGTCCGTCAGGTCCCCTGTACCCGCCCGGACCTCCTGTACCCGCCTGGAGCCCCCTGTACCCGCCCGGACCTCCTGTACCCGCCCGGACCCCCTGTACCCGTCCGGACCTCTGTACCCGTCCGGACCCCCTGTACCCGCCCGGACCCCCTGTACCCGCCCGGAGCCCCTGTACCCGCCCGGACCTCTGTACCCGCCCGGACCCCCTGTACCCGCCCGACCTCCTGTACCCGCTCGGACCTCCTGTACCCGCCCGGACCCCTGTACCCGCCCGGAGCCCCTGTACCCACCCGGACCCCCCTGTACCCGCCCGGACCCCCTGTACCCGCCCGGACCTCCTGTACCCGCCCGGACCCCTGTACCCGCCCGGAGCCCCTATACCCGCCCTGACCCCCCTGTACCCGCCCGGACCTCCTGTACCCCGGACCTCCTGTAAACATATACATTTCCTCCTTTACACAAGTACCACACAAGTTACAGTGCCTCCTTCCATCTCAACACCCGCAATACACACACACACAGGTGTATGTGGATCAGTGTGTGTGTGTAAAGTTTTGGTAACTTGCTAAGTATATATGTCTCTCTCCTCGGGTCGAGCCTTAGACGCCCCGGCGGGTGGGTAGGACAGGCCGTCCCGGGACGCATGATAGCGGCAGCGCCACGAAGGGTCCCATAGTTTCACAGTTTACAAAAATTTCCCCCCCTTTCAACACTGTTTTTTTTAACTCAGTCGTCAGTCCATGTTTATTCTATGCCGCGGGCGACCCCAAGGGACTCTCCATACACCTGCTTCCCCCATCACCAGGACTCTCCACACACCAGCTTCCTCCATCACCAGGACTCTCCACACACCAGCTTCCTCCATCACCAGGACTCTCCATACACCAGCTTCCCCCATCACCAGGACTCTCCATACACCAGCTTCCTCCATCACCAGGACTCTCCACACACCAGCTTCCTCCATCACCAGGACTCTCCACACACCAGCTTCCTCCATCACCAGGACTCTCCATACTCCAGCTTCCCCCATCACCAGGACTCTCCACACACCAGCTTCCCCCATCACCAGGACTTTCCACACACCAGCTTCCCCCATCACCAGGACTCTCCATACACCAGCTTCCCCCATCACCAGGACTCTCCATACACCTGCTTCCTCCATCACCAGGACTCTCCACACACCAGCTTCCCCCATCACCAGGACTCTCCATACACCAGCTTCCTCCATCACCAGGACTCTCCATACACCAGCTTCCTCTATTACCAGGACTCTCCATACACCAGCTTCCTCCATCACCAGGACTCTCCATACACCAGCTTCCTCCATCACCAGGACTCTCCATACACCAGCTTCCTCCATCACCAGGACTCTCCATACACCAGCTTCCTCCATCACCAGGACTCTCCACACACCTGCTTCCCCCATCACCAGGACTCTCCATACACCAGCTTCCCCCATCACCAGGACTCTCCACACACCAGCTTCCCCCATCACCAGGACTCTCCATACACCAGCTTCCCCCATCACCAGGACTCTCCATACACCAGCTT